CGAAATGTAAATTTTACTCGATTTTTTAGCCTAAAAAGATTTTTTTTAATCCAAAGAGATAATAGAAAACTCAGATAGAGAAAACTGAGATAGTTTTCCATTCCCACGTAGGACTGGAAATTTTCTCTATTTTTTTATTTATTAAAATGGAAAAATTATATCTTCGGTTAAAAAAAACTCAGTTGATATTTGTTCTATCTTTTAGTCAAATCGAAACTCATCTAAATGAATAATCCTACATTCCCGATTTCCTCAATCGAAACCACTCAAAATCTTATCCCGATCTTAATTTTCTAATTTTGTTTGAAGATTTTTCAATTTCAAACTATAAAATCTTCAAATTCCAATCAAATTTGTTCTATCTTTTGGTTAATTTAACAAAGTAAATCTTATCTTACCAAAATAAACCAAATCTAAGCTAATGAAATCCAAGTGTACAAAAATCTGCAAGTTTGAAATTTGTACTTTAACCATAGTAGTTTTTAGGAATTGGGCCAGTTGTGGTGGATTATATTCAAAAGATACGATCTTAACCAGTTGTGGTGGATATAATCCACCCTAACCATGATTCCTATCTGGCTTCTAAATTAGTATCAAAAGTCTATGCAAACGCTTTTGAAGGAGAATAGAAGGAAGGTATCCATGATGGTCAAATCCCTATTATTATTCTTTTCTTACTACTTTACTTGTATATGAATTTTATTAGTGGCCGCCAATGTTGTTTTCCTTTAAGAACTTCTTTTTCATGTCTTCTAATGGTTTTGGGTAGGTTGCTCGTGTAAATACTATGATATGGTTAGTCAATAGACTTCTCTTCCATTTGAATCTCCATGAAAAGGCTAATTCTGATTGTTTCTCACAAGTTTATGGTGCGTGCCGAGTTCACCAAAAATATTACTAGCTTCGATTATGAATTTCGTAGATAATGGAAGCTAGATCGATCCCACGAGGACAGCTAATTACCAAATTTGTTGTTAAAACAAGTCTACCAGTCAGACAAGGTGTCACTCAGGGGAATGGAAACAATCACTCAGGGGAATGAGAGCCAGGGGTGTTCATCTCCTCTTCCTACTGCTGTAGTTGTTTTACTAGCACTGTAATGGTTGAGTTCTTGTTTATTCAGCTCACTTATAACTCTAAGTCAGTTCCCATTTTTCCTAGAATCATCTTTGCAACCTTAACAACCTATTTTCCAATGATTGATTCTAGTCACAAAGTCATTAAGTTCTTAGGCCTTCATGAATGCTTATGTTAACTAAATATATCCCTATCTTAGTTAAAACCATAGACTGTTACCTCTATGTCATAAGTTAAAGTTGAAACAATCCAAACCAAGTTTATCTTTCCAAATCTCCCTTAGTTCTAGCATGCATTCAATTTAGTGATCAAGTAAATGAATGTAGAAAATTTCAACTTCAAAACAAGGAACAGAACCAGTGCATTACACAACTACAACATAGGTTGAGGAGAATAACCCCTGGAAGCTGCTTAGCTACTCATGCAGATTAATGCTACATCAACTACATCAACAGACATCATAGAAGTATGCATAATAAACAAAGTTCAAGCTAACAGTCAAGAGACGAGAAAAAAGCTTGTGCAATTCTGAGCCACTCTTGAGAGTGAAGGGGTTCACTCATGGAACTGAAGCAGAAACTGGGATGGCTGTTCTTCAACTTGGCTTCCTTACTGAGTGGGTGTAGCTCCTTCTCCCTTCTTGCCTTCTTCCTGGATTTTTTTGTGTGTTTTTGGCAACTGAAAGGGTAACCAGAGATAGATCCCCCCTTCTGAGAGTGAAGTTCCCCCTTTTATAGAGCCTTGTAGCCGGTTCTTTAATCATGAGAGCCTCCCATGCTTGTGTGTTGTTTAATCCTCCCTATGCCTTGTGCCTGGAATCCAAACTTGGCTGGTCTTCTTCTCTTCTTCCAGTAGTGGCAGCATTGCTCTCATTGATCAGCAGGGGTGGCTGGAAATTCGGCTGAGGGACAAGCATGCCTCTTGGAATTCAAATGAGAGACGAGTATATTAATGGCAAGATGCTTCTTGTCTAGGGAGGTGCTTTTTCGTCCAGCTCAACAAACATTGCCTCAGCAGCCCGCAATTTGTTCCTTTGGCCTCAATTTTTTTAGCAATTGTTCAATCAAACCCCAACCTAATAAAAACACGAAAACCAGTTAAGTAGAATGCACTAATAATAGGAAATACCCCCAATTTCTTACTAAATTCAGAGTTAATTGTGATGCTTTTATGTAACAAATAAACCATTATCAGTTTACATAGTAAACTACTTTTTCCCCCCTTCAATTATAGTATCCATGGCTTAATCTTCTCGATGGCAATGCATTAAGGTATGTAGTCCCTTTTTTCCCTTTTAATCTGAGACTCCCTCACTTTTAACTTCTGATTGAAACAAAAATAGTAGTTCGCGTGTTAATTTCCTTCTGAATAATTGATACCATACCTGTTTGATGATTATTTTTTTCTCTTTTTGTAAATTGATTTCTTGCCTCTATTTATTCTATGAATTGTTGTTGTGAAGATCCAAACTTACGAAGAAAAGTATTAAACCACATGTTGTCAAGAAGTGAGGTCTTTGATTGCTTGGACACCAAAGAAACCTCAACGCCGAAAGATAAATTTATGTCTAAGTAGATCTTGCTTGCTCATTTTTTGCTATATAAAGTTATGTAACAAATCAATTATTATCCTATTATATCTTATGATGAATAGTAGTCTGCAATTGCCTCTATTCTCTTGAATTTCTCAAAACAAAGGGAATGCATTTACACAATTGTCCCTCCAGTTCGCTTTTAAATGTCTGTGTAATGCCTTCTACAAACATTTAAATAACTTCTATTGCTGGCTTTGTGTTGTCATTGAAAGGTTTAGGAACTATAAGATCTCTCATCGACCTTCAATCATTGCAAATGAACCTAATTCCATATTGAACTTTTACCTGCAGTATGATAGTGCTATTTTTCACACATCACTTGCCAGGCTTCTCGGTCACCCAACTAATTTTCCAAAGGTATCACTCTTTCCTCCATTGAAAAGATATCTTTACTTTTCTTAGTAATAGTTAGACGTCCAATTCATTGCATTATGGCAGTATTGTTGACAGCAGCAATTAAGCAGCTTTATAAATTATACACCTTCACAAGCTTCAAGACACTAATTCATTATGGATTCTGCTTCATGGAATGCATGAATACAAAATGTGACGTATGAAAAAAAAAGAAAAAAAAATCTAGAATATTGTCACTTCATTCTGGGGGCATCAATTTCAAAAGATACTGTACAACTTACGCATAACGTCTGAAAACTGGAGTGTTTTTGTGACAGGCTTAACTTATCAATAACATGAGTTATCTTTCAACTCGGTTCATTATAATTCTTTTCAGCATTGTTCCATGGTAATTCATGTCTTCCTTTCTTCAACAGGAGTGGAAAATATCGGAACTGCAGTTTCTCCATGAACTTGTAAATGAGCTAAATAGCAAGCTCCGTGGCTTTCAGGTAGAATCTCCTATTTGATACCGTTGCATAATTTATTATTAACACATTTCAGTTCGGTATGGTATTGTATATTATCGGTGTTGAATTTGGCAACAGTAATAAGGGTGCGATTTCTAATGTGGTTGGTGTGGAGGCTTTAGGGGTGGGGTGTTCCGGGAGCATCTTCTTAGATTCTCCATGAATGCTGGATAATCTTGTGCAGATACCTTTACTGTGCAAAGGTCTAGGGTTCTGTGCATTTACTTTTTCAACTGCATTTGTACAGGCAACAGTTTCTGAACTATGGTATGTGGAAGAGTATGATCTCTTGGCACTTGCCTTGAATGGAAGAATGAAAGCTCGCAAGTTTCAACTGAGCTGTTCAAAAACCTAAGAATTCAAGATGACTGTAGCTTTCTCCGTTGATTTGAAACTCCCCGGCATAGTAACGCTGCTCCAAATTGTAGTTGGAGTCTTAGAGATAGTATATATAACATCAAAATGGTATATTGAAGAGAATAGAGGATGTGTCTGAATTAAAGTGTCTTATAAAGGGTTTTTTTCTCCTTTGCATATTGCACACGGTGTCCTAAGTGCATTGCACTCAGACTAATCCGTATCGAGTCGGGTCAATCTCCTTTCAAAGGAAAATCTCTCTCAACATTGCTCTTTCCATTCACGAGATTCGAACCCGAGATCTCGCTTAAGAGAATCAAAGCAGCTTACCACTTTGGCCAAGTGTTGGTTATAAAGGATTGATATACGTTGTAACATCTGTTTCCTGCATGCAATTGCCATTTGCAGTTTGGGCTCAAAATGGCCAATATCTCAAGCCCATTACTTTGCTATTTACTCACCCCACCATAAGTTAATTCATTGCTAACTCACTATAATCATTAATTTACCTCCAAAAAAAAAAAATTTCTAGAAAATGGTATGTAAATTATAAGTAAATGATAATATATTATTTTCGATATATTATACAATTCATGTTCAAAATTATCATCTGGGCTAATCTAAATTCGAAAGAATAATTACAATAGTCTTTCAAAAAATTACAAGAATAAGTTCAACCAATATACAAGAAAATTTTAGGATATTATCGCTCTGATCTGTATGAAATGTGGTTTCTACAAAGTCCTTGGACATTAATCTTAACAAACAATTTGTATGACATCTTCTTTGCATGGATGTTTCGTACGTGTAAACTTTTGAGGATTCATTTACATAAGCTTGAAAACATCATCTCAATGGGTAAAAAAATCAATTTCTATGGCATTTCTTAATTTGCATGGATATGATCTATATTTGGAAAGCTAAATTTATGAGGGTTTTCAACTGCAAACGCCTCAAATATAATTAACCCTCAGCATGCAGCATGTTCTAGACATGCAAATGGTCCTCCTTTCCTATAAATACATACCCTAATTTCCATCATCAAATATCAAAAACTAAATTCCATATAATTAAGCTATAGTACCAAAATAACTAACCCAGAAAAAACAATGAAGAAGTCAGATTTTTTTGCTGCAATGATGGTTGTTGTTTTCTTCCTCTCCGGCCTAGCTCAGGCTGCCAGCCAACGTGACGGCGGGGGGAAGTGCCAGCGGGAGGTGGAGGCGCAGTTGGACCGAATTCGCGGTTGCACCGGCTACTTGACGTATAGCGAGGGACGAGGAGGATGGCGGGAGGGGCAGCGTAACCTCGATGCTTGCTGCCAGGGCATCCGGACAGTCTCCGAAGAGTGCCGGTGCGCGGCCGCGAGACAGGCGGAATGGATGATAACGGCAGATTGGGCGAAAGGAGAAATAAGGGAGCGAATGAGGAAGACTGCTAATAACCTTCCACAAAAATGCAAGGTGCCCCCATATCAATGCAATGTGTATTGATTTTCAGGAAATTAATCAAATCTTAGGTCTTTCCAAATAATCAATCAAATAAAGGCCCTTTTCAAAAAAAAGAACAAAAAATCAAATAAAGGCTAGCTTTAGCAGCTATAGCTATATACAGCTTGTTTTGTAAGATAATTGTACGTTGTTTTATATTTCTTTTATTTTATTACGTGGTGATTTATTCAAGTATCACGAGTATGAATTGCTAATTTATAGTATCTTCCGTTACATAATAAGTGTAAGATTTACTGTACATGTTGAGGGGGAGAAAAACAAATAATCTAGCATTGAGAACGTTTGGGATGGACTTTAACAAATTACTGACATAACTGTGTTCGATTATTATATTAGAAATTTGTCAAATAAATATCCTAATATTACGAAATAAATAGGAGAAATAAAAACACATATACTCCTAGTCTTTAATTGGGTGTTTCTCAAACACCTAATGACCTTCATGGGTATCCCCAATTGCAAGCCTTTATTGCAGACATCCGAGATGGGTATGCAATAGTCTTTTGAAGAGGCAGAGACGATGTAGTTCCTCAGAGCAATAAGAGGGTTCAACTCCACTTGATTTGTGAATGGATTCAATTGAATCAAAGAATGAATCTTTCTTCCATTTCATGCAGTTATCTACGCTTGCACGTCTTAGTATGAGGGAAAAAGGCTGGATTGTCGAGAGAGATGAAAAGGAATCTTTGCAGGAGCCATGAATCTCTATTTTTTGCAGCTAGACTTGGCATTTATCAACTTGTGGTTGTCTTTCAAATATTTAGCTTTCTAGCAGTGTGGTCAGCAAGGGAGTAAAGAAACAACAATCTTCAATGAAATGAACCACAAAGATGCATTTTACCAAAAATTAAAAAGAGTGTAAATGAGTCATAAACTCTATCATCAAAAGAAGAAAATATAGAAAGAAAAAACAAACTGGAGGAACATTCAACACACAAATGAAATTGGCTCAAACATATTTGAAGTGCAAGTTGGAAATTGGAAATAAACAATTATTTTCAAGCTTCTCAAATGAAGCTTTTTATTTGTCTCTACAAAGCTATCGTCTCCTAGCTCGACCTCATTGTAAAGTCAACAACATTGTAAGGGCAATCTTCAAGGTCATTATGTACTCCCTTTTATCCTTATTATAACACATTTTGATTTGTCCTAAATTTTTTTTTAATTAAAAAAATTAAAAATCGCATTTATTTCATTTTCCTAATTATTATAAAATATTACTATTTTTAAGATTTTATTTCAATTGGACGAATATACTAAATAAAATTTAGGACAAATTAAAATGTCTTATAACAAGGACGGAAAGGAGTACTATATTTTAATACAATCCACGCAGTAGCTATGCTAATTACACGCAAAATCAGAAAAGAAGGTTACCTTTTATGCGCTTTTACATGTAAACATCAACAAGTGTAGTAACAAAATTCTAAAGCGCTGTAACTAGAAGTTATAAGTCCTTTTACAAACACTAGTTAATTAGCTTAGGAATCCAAATATAGTAGTAACCGGCCGGTTACCATTTTATAATTTCAGAAAATTTTGTTAAAAAAGAATATTCAATATAATGAATAAATGCTAAACATACAAATCAAAATGCATACATAATCAATTTTAATAAAGTGGTTATACGCTAACTAGTGTTAAAAATAATTCACTAAACGTATTTAAAATCATGCAACAAAATCATCAACTTTTGATTAAGTAACAAAACTTAATTGAACATGTTAAAATTAGCAACAACCTAACAGTATCTATGACAACTTTTGACTACATATAGATTGCAAAAAATCTCAAAGAGACAACAAGTTCAATGACATCTTCTCCAGTTTGCAATTTTGCATGGATAATGGTTATCTATCAATATTTTGTATGCTTCTGACGATTCAAATTCACAAAATACAGCAAAATACCTTAAATCCCTATGCATGCAACACGTTCTAGACATGCAATATGTATCTTCTCCCTTCCTATAAATACCCTAATTTCCGTCATCAAATTTTCATAAAATAATTTCACAGTAAGCTAATCCGTTATTAATTTTTTTAAAAAAAAATAAAGATGGGTAAGTCCGTTTCTATTGTAGGAATCATAGTAGTTTTAGTACTCTTGAGCCTAGCTCAGGCCACCGAGCTCACAGAAAACACCTCCAGCGGCGTTGATGAGGAAAAACCCTGGATTCCTCCCGGCCGAGAGCCGTGGCAGCAGAGATGCGATCAGCAAATCAAGCAACAGATGGGCCATATTCGGGCTTGTCGGGCGTACTTAACGTACATAACCTGGCCGAAAACTCAACCCGGAAGAGGCCGGGGGACAGCCCAACAGTTCCTGATGGATTGCTGCCACGGCATCAAGAACACGCCGGAGCAGTGCCGGTGCAAGGCCGTGGAAAGGGCACTGAATTTGCAGCCAGGGGAGTTTCAGTTTGTAAGAATGAATAATATGAGGACGATTGCTAGGTTCCTTCCACAAATGTGCTATCTCGACCGTCCAAAACAATGCACTGTGTAATAGTTGATTAGTTAGGATGTTAATCAACTTTGTAATTTCTATTAAACAATAAATATGGCTACCTATATAGCATCTATACAAACATATATATATATATATATATATATATATATATATATATATAGAGCGGCTAGAGTCCCGAAACGGGACGGTTCCGTTTTAAGATAACAACTGTATGATTAATTAGTCTAATTAACAACCATAGGATTAAAATGAAGGTGTATCATAATTAAATATACCTAAACACACCTGACTAAACTGAAAAGAGTAGAAGAATTGGTCAATTTTGCCCAAAGCTTCAAGTGTCTAACCAATTTGACCCAAAAAGATATTTGGGAAGCCAAATTCATCATCTAAGTTTCAATTTCTGGCCAATTTCAACCAATTGACAAAACTTCCGTTAGATTTAACACCTCCGCTGACATTCAGTTACGGACAAAATGATGGTTGTACCCAAAGTTTTAACCCCGTCGTTAATTTTACCCCATTGATTTGTGGTTAGCCAATTTTGTCCTTTATGTTTGAAATTTTTGCCAATTTCATCCAATTGGCCCAATTTCCGTTAAACTTAAGGGATTTCAGTTATTTTCAACAAAATTATATCTCAATATATCAAAACATTATAAAAATAACCCCCAAAATATGTAAAAATTAACAAAATAATCTCTTTTCATTATTTATTTATTTATTTTTATTTCATTTTATTTCTCTTTACTACTTTTTATAACCATCAAAATATATTATAAGATCTTTAAAATAATAAGTATTTTATTTTCAAACTCTATTTTTCATGTGCAAACATGTGAGTTGGGTTCAGAAGTAATTTTGTCATATTTTTAAAATTTTTAATTAACTTTTTTTTTTGTTATTTACTATTCTTTTTCTTATACTTCCTGACTTGTATCTGTTGCTATTAGTATAATTACTAAATTTCATTAATTAATTACCTTTTATTTCATAGATTATAAAAAAAGTTTAAAAATTAAAGAAAATGAGGAAGAAAAAATCAAGTTGAAATAACTATGAAAATTAATAGTTAATCATTCTAAACAAAAAAAAAATCTACAAAAAAAAAACTGCTAATACAAGTATTTCCTCCTTGACTTCTTGTAATTCATAAGTAAGTTACGAAATATAAATTTTACTCGATTTTTTAGCCTAAAATGATTTTTTTTAATCCAAAGAGACAATTTTTTAATAGTACTTAGATTGCATAAGAAGAAGATAGGGTCAGCCTACCAATCCGATATCCATGTCTCAGTCATAACAAGAACACTTCAAACCGGCTACCTTAAACAACAAATGTTATTAAAAAAAAAAAAAAAAACCCAAACAACAGCAAGAGGAGAAAAATCCCAGGAAACACCACCAGATATTTATTACATTTAAAATTAAGACCCATTGATTTTGACCCCACCTGAAACAAGTCCCCCAGATCTAAAGCTGGCCACAGTCGGCGATCTCAACCTTCTTGGCGATCTTTCCACTCCTTGATCTAACCTTCTCAATGGCCTTCACCACTTCCATGCCCTTCACAACCTGGCTAAACACAACGTGCTTCCCATCGAGCCAAGTGGTCTTAGCAGTGCAGATAAAGAACTAAGATCCATTGGTGTTGGGCCCAGCGTTAGCCATGGACAGGATTCTGGGACCAGTGTGCTTCTTGACAAAGTTCTCGTCGGCGAACTTCGCACCGTAGATGGACTCTCCACCGGTGCTGTTTCCGGCGGTGAATCCTCCTCCCTGGCACATGAAGTCGGGAATCATACGGTGGAAGGCCGATCCCTTGTAGTGCAGGGGCTTGCCGCTCTTTCCGACGCCCTTCTCGCTGGAAAAAAAAGATTGTCGGAAAATAAAAAAAGTGTTTAATTGAGTGGGAGAGTGAGTCGGCGAGTTGGGTGAGACTAAATAAATTGTTTTGTTTGTGTTAATAACAAAATATTATAAAAATTCGATAATCATTTGAAATAGGAAAAAATGCTAATTTATTTAGTCCATGATGATGAATTATTGTAAATTTGGTTAACACAATTTTTATTCTTTTTTAGTAATTGTTATTGTTACTTTGCCGATGGCGAAACTACATAAGTAATCATTGAATTTCATGATAAAGGTAAATACATATATTTTTTAACAGCATTTTTTTAATATTTTTTTAAACCTCAAAATTGAAATACAAAAGGTAAATTTTTTTTCTTTAAATATAGTAATTATATTAGTGCCAACATATACAAGTCAGAGAGTACAAGAAGAAAATTGTTAAAAAATAAAATAAAGCGAATTAAAATTTTTAAAAAATATAAAAAGACAAAATCAGCTCTAAACCCAACTCAAGTGTGTTGCACATGAAAAATATTGTTGAAAATAAATAATTATTTTTTAAAGATCATATAGTATATTTTAATGGTAATGAAAAGTAGTAAATAGAAATAAGATGAAATAGATTAAAATGAATATAAGTGAAAAGGGATTAT